GTCGCTACGCAACTGTCGAGCCCTGCCCTCGCCGGCATGACAACCATGATTGATCCGACTTTGGACGAGGATAAGATCCATCAACTTCACGACCTGCTTTCTAAGTACCACACCCTCTTTGACCTTCAAAGTCGTCCTCTTGGCCAGGAAATGCAGTTACTCACCGAATCGACACCGGCACTGAACCTCCAATCCGCCACCGTCCTTACCAAGTATCACCGAGCAAACGCCGCGCTATCCAACATGAAGTTAATGATATGCTGTCACAAAACGTTGTCCAGTCCTCGTTAAGTCCTTGGTCTTCTCCTATCGTCTTAGCAAAAAAGAAGGACGGATCACGGCGCTCCTGCATCGATTACCGCAAATCAAACAAGATAACAAGAAAGATGTGTACCGTCTGCCCCGTATAGGCGACACTCTCGATTGCTTATATGGCGCTGAGTATTTTACCTGCATTGACCTACGGTAGGGGTATTGGCAGATCAGCATCGGGGAATCGGACCGCGAGAAAACTGCGTTCATCACACCTGACGGACTCTTCGAATTTAAGGTGATGCCCTTTGGTCTTTGCAATGCGCCAGCCACGTTCGAAAGAATGATGGATTGTCTCCTCAAAGGCCTAAAAAGAGGTAACCTGCTTATGCTACCTCGATGATGTAATCATTTTCTCTGACCCAAACACCTCGAACGCGTGCAGCAAGTTTTTTAAAGTTTTTCGACAATCTGGACTACAGCTCAACTCATCAAAATGTCGGTTCGCAAGCCAGCAAAATAAAGTTCTGTGGCACCTCCTCAACAAAAAAGGTATCCTGCCAGACCCAGAAAAAAATCAGGCAGTAAAAAATGTTCCCAAACCTCAATCAACGAAATACGTTAGGAGTTTTTTGGGGGTTTGCTTCTACTTTCGCCACTTCATTCAAGACTTCGAACACATCGCAGTCCCACTGTCCTCCCTCCTCAAGAAAAATCAACCTTCCGAATGGCACCATCAACACCAGTCGTCGTTTGCGTATCTCAAGGCCGCTTTGACATCAAGCCCTAATCTCTGCCATTTCAACAACACGGCACCCACCGAAATTCGAGCCAACGCCAGTGGTCACGGTATCCGAGCTGTTCTTTCGCAACATCAACTTGGAACAGAACCAGTAATTGCTTACGCCAGCCGGCTCCTTTCACCAGCTGGGCGTAATTACACCATCTGTGAGAGGGAATGCTTGGCTGTGGTATGGTCAATTTGTAAATTTCGGCTATACCTCTTTGGACGTCCCTTCCGCATCATAACTGATCGCCACGCGCTCTGCTTGCTGTCGTCACTGAAAGATCCTTTTGGCCGCCTCGGCCGCTGGTCACTTCCATCGCCTTCAAGAATATGACTTCACCATCGTATACAAATCCGGAAAAATGCACCAAGATGCTGAATATTTGTCCCGCTATCCAGTGAGCCCAATCGGTTACTCAGATAACACTGAACTGACTGTCCTTCCGATCTCAGACCTCCTCAGCCTTGCCCAGGAACAACGCCGTGACCCAGCTCTTTGAGCTCATATTGAACATCTAACGTCAAAACTAAACCAGCCATCCTCAGGACTCTTTCCGATGCGGAACGATATTCTATACCGGCAAAACTTCCGACATGATGGAATACCGTGGCTTGTAGTGGTTCCTAAACACCTACAGGCAACTATTCTTAACCAACTACACGACGCCCCTTCATCAGGTCATCTCGGTCTGCTTCGCACGTACAGAAAGGTTAAGGAACGTTTTTATTGGCCTGGAATGTACCAACTCTTAAGAAATATGTCTCCTCATGCGACATGTGTCAACATCGAAAGAAACTGCATACTCGACCATCAGGACTTCTTCAACCACAGCACCCTCCGCGCAGCCCATTCCAGCGACTCGGGGTTGATTTCCTAGGACCATTCCTTTTGTCACGCACTGACAACCGTTGGATCGCAGTTGCAATAGATCATACCACTCGTTATGCGATCACCCGCGCCCTTCCAACCAGTACTGCTGTTGACCTAGCCAAGTTTATCTTGGACGACGTCATATTTAGATTCAGAGAACCTCGAGAACTTCTCAGCGATTGCGGGCGTTCTGTCCTCTCGCGCGTGGTCTCAGAAATACGACAGTCCCGCTCCGTGCGCCACCGAGTCACCAACGCTTATCATCCACAAAAAAAATGGATTGACCGAGCGATTGAACGGGATATTATCCGACATGCTGTCTATGTACGTCTCGTCCGATCACAGCAATTGGGACGCCGCCTTACCCTATATCACTTTTGCATATAATTCTTCACGCCACGACACTACAGGTTTTACCCCATTTCATCTACTCTTTAACCGTGAACCTCCCTTAATGATTCCCTCCTTCCACTTCAACCAGACGCTTTCCTCACAGCATTCGCATCTGATGCATAAGTCGAGCCGAAGACGCCCGCCAATTAGCTCGTCTACGCACACTTGATTCTCAAGAGCGCCAGTGCACCCGGTACGACAGTTCCTACCAGCATGTTAGTTTTTCTCCCGGAGATCTTTTACTCCTTTGGACACCGCGGCGCCATGTTGGATTGGCTGAAAAGCTACAACATCGTTACAGTGGACCCTACCGGATCTCCCACAAATCTAGTGACGTCACCTATGTCATAAAACCCCCCCATGAACAAAATGACGGGCGCCGCAAACAACGAGACACAGTGCACGTGCTTCGCCTAAAGCCTTACATTGCACCATCGGCCCCGTAGCTCAACGATAAGACGTCGTTTTTTTTCCGAGGGAAGTAATCTTACGAGGATGAAGGAAGCAAATTCGAGCAATCGGGCAGGAGATAAAGGAAAAGAAGCAGTGCCCGATCTCCCGATCCCTCATGGTTGAAGCATCCAGCTCATCTTTCTCCGGCAAACCTCCTTAGTCTTCTGTAAATAAACCATATTTCACCGTAACTATAGGTACAGACACACATATATATATATATATATATATATATATATATATATATAACGGCTGCGACATAATACTGACCTTGTTTGGTTAAAATCTAATTCTGAAACAAATTTTCGGCAAATGTTAGCCCGTTTTTCTCAGTTAAAACGGATAACGCAAAACCCTAAATATAAAATCTGATAATGATCGCATTGTAGATTATAATGCAAATAACAAAAGTAAGGCTTTATACATTCTGCTGTAAGGAACACAGATTAAGGGGTTAGGCAGTTGCGTTGGAAACCATGGAAGGACACACGAATCAATATGCACCATCTGTGATCTTGGATGCGCAAATAAAGTATTGGCTCCACGGCAGCTACACCACTAACGTGTTTTTTTCTTTTTCTTTAAGAATGTATTCATTTTTTCTATTTTTTAAAGAATGATTTAAACAACAATTTGGGAACACTCATCTTGAAAGATTGCTGAACTCCTGCTGCGAGGACATGATTTTTTTCATTCTCTGATCTTATGGCAAATAATCCCGTGGCATCAAAACAGAGAGAGAGGGGGGGGTTATATGGGATTGTTTTTTAGACATTTCAATTTTTTCCCCAGTAAACAATACGGAGAAACCACCAAACTCGAGAATATTAAATGCAAGCTGGTTTCTGGAAATTCAAGCAAAATTTAACCGAGTATTAAGTTCATCCGTGCACAAAAAAGTAGAAGTAAAAGATTGTACGCAGTCATTCTACATGCTCATTAAGCGCATCTTGTATCTTCTTTGATACCAAATGTAGGATCATTTCTTCGCCTTAGAAGACGGAATACCATTTTTGGCACGGTGCATAAGCAACGCTTCGCAAATATTCTACCCTATTGCCCTTTTGAATGACAGAATATGATTGAAATACTTCTCCACGTACACTTCTCAGAATAAAAACGTGAAAATATAAGAGCAGAATTACTTTGCCTACTACAGAACGCCATCCAACGGCAGGACTAGTTGCAGTGCACCTGCCGGTCTCTGTACTTCCTTAATGTTAGACTGGCTGTTTCAAAAGCGTTCAGGAAGACCCGGTGTGCGAGAGCTAAACTAACACAGGTAGCTCGCTCAGGTTTCTTAAGGTGACAGAGCCGCCATTTAATGACACCTAGCTTCATTCCAATTGTATACGTATTTATTTTTATTCTACTTCATTGGGCAAAGCACGTCTGTTTGCCCTTAGGATTTGCTTTAATATAGATCTGTTGTGCTCCACACAACCGAAACTTGGAGAGGAAAGTATCTACTGTTTCTTTTTTTTTAACTTACATTGTGATAAGAAACTTGTTTGAGAACGCAGTTTTTTCTACATCTAAATTTGACCGAATATGAATGTTTATAAAAATACAAGAACACTTCTACAACGCTCATCGTAATAAATCCCTTGAGAGGTAAGAAAGCCTGACAAACGTAACGTTTACCATTTTCTACACCACCTGAGACTGGGTGGAAGAAACACAACAACGTCTCAACGTGTTTCTTCCACCCAGTCTCAGGGGGCCTAAAAAATGGTAAACTTACACCAGCTCGCCTGCGCCCTAACTGTTTTTTTCATAAACGTAACGTGCTGTTTACCTTGTTCCGTGCATACACCGCTCATAATCCGGAAGCTACGAAAAAGAAGCAAGTATAAGCTGGATTCATTTCCAGAAAAAACTGAGTGTGCAGGCGACTTGGTTATAGTCATGATGTTTAAAACCCGATGCTTCTTCTCCTGTGCATTTTGTTTTCAACTTCAAAGATTCCTATTTTTCCCTCAACACAGTCTCGGGTTTAAAACATAACATTTTGTAGAAAAACTATGTATTTACAAAAAAAAGTAGAACTAGTTGTACGATATTTTTTTAAAACATTGAATTGAAAGAAACTAAATTGAGGAAATAGTCAAATAACATTCAATCATAAAACCAAACGTTCATGCGATCAGTGAGGGCTCGTTGTATGCAATGTTTCAGGCCTAATTGTTTGTTGCTGTTTTTTATTGAACGCATTATAATGAAACTACGTCTTCTTTACCGCAGGAGAGTACAGCTGCCTCAAAGCTGAGTTCTTCCTTCAGCGCTCCATCGGTTACCACCTGGTTCAGTCCTACCTGCCGACCATCTTGATCGTAGTGATCTCGTGGGTATCCTTCTGGCTGGACGTGGAGGCCATACCGGCCCGGATCACCTTGGGAGTCACCACACTACTCACCATCTCGTCCAAGGGAGCAGGCATCCAGGGAAACCTTCCTCCGGTGTCCTACGTCAAGGCCATTGACGTCTGGATGGGCGCCTGCACAATGTTCGTGTTCGCAGCTCTGCTCGAGTTCACCTTCGTCAATTACCTCTGGAGAAAACTTCCCTCCTGCGCGGTTACACCACCACCTGTTTCAGACAGAAAAATATCTGTGGTAAGTTTACATTTCTTTTTTCTTTGTGAATACGCTGAACATGGTAATCAAAAGAAGGAAACAGTCTTGCGGTACTGCTACGTGTACATGAAGAAAGCCTTTATTAGCTAAAGCTCATAATTCTTCTCAAAGGGGTGTTGTTACTTACGGGTAGTAGTACCATGTTTAATGCCGGCAATTTGTTTTCTTGAACTGCCACGCACTCTAAAAATTCAGATACCAAGTACTATGTCTTTACGCTGTGGAGTCTTACTTTGTTTATTTGTCAAAACATTGTAAACAATTATAGTTCTAGATGAAGTCAATTCTAACGAAAAATATGTATTTAGCACCTACAGCGGAGCGCACTTTGGACCAATTAGTCAATTACGGAACTGCTTCAGAAGACGACCTTGGTCTTGCCTTCAATGCCGCCACTTTTTCATAGTCTCCGCATTCCCTTGTCGGCGCGATTCACATTGCGAATTGGGATTTCAAATATACGTTTTTACTTTTGATACTTTTGACATAAAAATGATAGTTATCAGAAGGCAGGAAACATTAGGTCTTGTCTTTCGCCCGAGAAAAATTGAAAACTGCCATGTCTTTATCTTATAAAACGATTGCATGATGACGGCATCTTCTAGAGTGCTTCACTGGTCATGAAGAACCTAAGGCATTCTAGTTACTGACCAACAATCCAGAAGGTGTGCACTGTGCGTCATCATCGGGGAAACATTTCAGTCTAATGAATCCAAAGTTTGACTTTTAAAGATTCCAGTTAAATAAAACACTCCCCTAGCGTAAATCTAAGAAATATGAGAAAGAGCGCTGTCGCGATTTATATGATAATTTTTTTTTCTGTTGAACGCATCATATTTTCACATATCTTGTTTAAATATATACAACGCACATGTGACAAGTAACGTGTAACAGACCTAAGCTATACATTAAAGTAATCTCAGTTTAGTTAGCGCGAACTCCAGAAGTCTTTTTTTTTTATTTAATTGAAGCGACATCTTACTTTAGTTAGCAAAAGAAGTTTGGAGATGCTATGAAAGATATCTGAAGTAGATTGCCGTTTTGATATTGAATAACCCTTCCCGTACATGCTCTCGAATCTCTTGATACGTTAGGTAATATTATTCTAATGTACGTACTATATAGAGATGCACACTTTATGGCCTAATACTGACCTCTACGTTACATAAAAATGAAGTTCAGCAACTCGGAAAGTTTTCTATAATAAGTGCTCGCACAAATCATGCCTTGTGGAAGTCTTTCTGGTAAAGTATAAATGGCAAATTTTAAGGCGTAGGCGCATTCGTGGGAAGTGTCAGAATACCCTTTATTAACTTTGTCAGTAGCGGACGCCAACGCAGAATACCGAGTTAACTGAGGGTTGTTTTAGTGTCATGAACTCCGATCAGCATAGCAAGAAAGCCATGGCACTCGGCCGAAAGCAAACAATCTTGTTGTAAGCTTGCTGTGTCCCCCGGGGGATGGCGCTCAAAGCACGACCATTGATCAACTAAAATGCCCGCGTCAGTGCCCACCCTTGAAAATTTCATGAGTGTTGGCGTAATCTTTCATAAAAACGGAGCTACGCCTTGAAACTCCCCAACGTAAAGTTAACCACTGGAATACACCAGTGGTGATGTTTTGAGCATGTAACGTGTAGGTGATGAGCCTTCCGGCCGATTTTTGAAAGAGCCCAACAATTCATACCACCCTATCTAGAAGGGCTGTTTTTTTCTCAACTTTCAATAACCTGAGTAACAAACAAACGATAAAACGCTATCTAATGCACGCCCATAATGCACAAACATACTGCAACTACTTTTCCACATAATCACCACAGAGATTTATAACGTTATTATGACGTGGCACAACCTTTTTGAAGCCCTTTCCAAAGAAAATTTCTACCTGTGTTTTGTGTTCTAGACTTCTGTGCCGTGTCGTCCCTCACTCTACCTAGTCTCCGGATTTTGATCTTATGTTCAATCGTCACTAGCTCGTTTGTGCCCGACCTTTCTGCTTAGTAGTCACAATACCGCAGAGGATATTGCTTGGAAGCTTCACCTGGTATGTAACGTTCGTTCCCTGGTACCCGTGTCTGGCGTGCTGCCGCCGGCCGAGACATTTGCGTTCGCTCGTTCTATTCGCTAGCATGTCTACGATCAACCCCCAGGACCGCGACATCCAACAGCATGATGCTCCTTCTTGTGTCATTTATTGCCACTTCAGGACCATTTCTTATGTATACAATGACCCCCTAGCCGTATACCTCACGTGCACAAGCCTCATTAGTGTAGTTGGCATGGCGTTTTGTTTAAACAAAATTGTTAAGTTCAAAAAGTAACATGCTCTATATTATGATGATACTATCATGGTATATTTTTTTAGACACGACATTCATGAGCGAATAAATAAATTAATGGTACAAAAAACATTATAAACGGATCTATCCTATTTCATGACGGTAGATGGAACATACAACCAAATACTGCCTCCATAAAACAAGCCCATTTCTACATATCAAGATATTCTAAATTCGCTTTGCTCACGCCCAGTCACCAATGAAGAACCCCGACTGATGAAGGCGGTGTGGCCCTCATTTTTTGACAATAAAGTTTTGAAATACAGACATGTCATAAATAAGTTAGATCATCTGAAGCGCCTCGGTGTTAGAGTTTCCGGTGACATGTTGTAGAACAAACATGTAAACCTCTTGCTAGCAAAAATAGTTCAAATAACTGGCGAGTGGGTCGCATTAGATACGTTCTTTTTTAAAAAAAAGAACGTATCTAATCGTATCAGTTATAAAGAAGATCGTATCTTCTTTATAACTGAAAGCTTACTCACATTTAAACAAATGCAATCTAGCGAGGGGAGGGAGTGGTCGGTCAATTAAAACTTACAGCGTGTTCATTTAGAACAAAAATATATTTAGCGTCTCTATAACCCACTGCATTAAACACCAAGTTATATCCCCTTTTATTGCGTCCGCATGTGCACCGCTCACAACCTATATAGGCATAGTTCTAGTGTCCGCTATGAATCAGAAACCCAACAAAATATAAATAATAAGTAAACTTAAAATGGTCCAATCTCAAATACAACTTTTTAGCTACTCTCTTCAGTAGATTGTTTGAAATAGGAGGAACCTACGACTCTGCTAAAAAGCTCCGGAGATAAGTGCCTCAGTTATTCATAACCATGTCATTTAGTTACTGCAAGTATCTATAAGTCCAACAATGCGAGCAATGGTGTACTTTTTTTTTCATTTCATTTATTATGTCTCTCAGAGGCCGAAGGCATTACAGGGAGGAGTGGGGCACAGTAAATGGAACAAAGCAAGTAACAACCAAAAAATAACAAAATACTTACTAACCACCATTTAACACGTTAGTAATGGAACAGTACATGGAATAAAACAAGTAACAATGAAAAGGCAAAAAATACAAAAAAATACTACTAAACATCATGTAACAGGTTAGTAATGGCGATCTTAAATTTATCTCAGGCAGTGCTTGTGACAATGGCTGCGGGAAGGCGGTTCCAGTCAATCGAGGTTTGAGGCAAAAACGAGCCATTAAAGGTCGATGTGCCGCAATGGGGGATCCCAACTTTTAATTGACGATCGGTGCGTCATGATATGTAAAATGTTTAAGAAAATAGTGCTTGGCGGAGAGTAGGGTTATAGTGACATATCTTATGGAACAAGCATATATTTCGACGAAGAGAAAGAGTGGGTAAGGGTAGAGATGCTTTCATTAAAGTGGTGCTAGTTGTGCGGTCATAGGTAGGAAGTATAAAACGGGCGGAACGGTATTGAATGGATTCTACGGCAGATGCAAGGGCGATACCAGGGTTCCAGATTGAGGCGGCACATTAAAGTTTAGGGCGAATTAAGGTTTTATAAATTAGACGCTTTAATGAAAGAGGGGCAAGGAAAACGTTTCTTTGGGTGTATCCTAATAATTGATTAGCGTTTTTCGTGACATAGACGACATGAATATTCCAGACAGATCATTTGAAATTTGAACACCAAGCTATTTATAGGAGGACACAGGAAGAAGGGTAGAGTTATTGGTGGAGTAGGAAGGGCAAATTTTAATTCGACGAGAGACACAGATGGATTTACATTTAGAGATATTAAGTTCTATAAGCCAGTCGTTGCACCATTGGGTTACATTATTAGTATCGGTCTAAAGAGCATAGATGTCGGAGTCGTTAAGGATTTCTTGGTAAGTAACACAGTCGTCAGCAAAAAGACTAATAGAAGAGGTGACACGGGTAGGGGAGATCATTAATATAAATAAAAAATAGTAGTGAACCGAATACAGAACCTTCTGGGACACCGGCGTTGACAGGCGAGTATGGAGAATTAGTTCCGTTGGCGTGTACAAAGTGAAGACGGTTAGTCAGAAAGGCGTCTATCCAAGCGAGAATGAATGGGCAGGTGTTAAGGCTACTAAATTTGTGGAGAAAAAGGGCGTCAGGAACTTTGACAAAAGCTTTGGAAAAATCAAGGAATATGAAGTCAGTTCTGGAACCCTGGTCAAGTGGGACATGGAGATTATGATTAAAGGTAAGAAGTTTGGTTTCGCATGTGTAAAACTTCCGAAAACCATGTTGTGATGTGTTAAGGAAAGAGTTAGAATCCAGAAAGTTTTCAAGTTGAGAGTAAATTACGTGTTCAAGGTGTTTGCATGTTATACTCGTTATGGAAATGGGACGGTAGTTAGATGGATTTTGTTCATCGCCACCTTTGTGTACAAAAACCACCTTCCCTGCCTTCCAATCCAATGGCAAGACACCATTTTGAAGTGACTGAGACAAAATCTTGGACAGGATAATGCTAGAATGCATTTTAGTGTTTTTCAAGGATGTTGTGTTAATGTTGTCAGTACCTACCGCAGAAGACATTCGTAGGTTTTCAATAATCTTAGCAAATCCTTCACAATTACAAGATACATAGGCAAAAATCAAGGCGGTAAATACAGGGAAACAAGACC